CAAATCCTGACATGTCTTCACAGCAGCAGCAGCAGCAGTGCCACGAGGACTATCCTGATCCTTTCAAACCACACGTGCGCAAGTACGAATACGAAAACGGCGAGCAAGCCTCCAAAGAAGCCCGGCGTACTGCCGCCCGCAAATGGCGTCGGTGAGGCTGCCGGGGGCCCTCCAGGGGAGACTACAAAAACACTGCAACTCCTTGCTGTGCTTGCTTTGGCTTTCTGGGGGCACCACGTGCCTGGTAGGCCCGCTTCGATGCCCAATATGCGCTTGAGCTCCTCGCAGCGCACGTGTCTGTCTAGGAAAGCTGCCCCAGACAAAGAATACCCGAACACTTCCTACAGAACCAGAGAGTTTACTTCTTTCCCCGGGCCTCCACACCCTCTCTGCTGGAGTTGATGAGACCCTGGAGCACAGAAACCTCTGATGGCATCTGACGGGAACAGCTCGGAAGCATCGGGACGTTATGGCTTCAGGGCTCGGCGTCGCGGGTTAGGGAAGCTAGGGCTCAGTTATAGTGACTGAAGCTAAGGCTTGGCATGCGATTTGAGACAGCGAGGCCCGTTTCACAGAAGCCTGGGCTCGGTGACATCAAGTATCTCCAGCTTTTATTCTCTTGGAAGTGCTCCGAGAATACTCGAAGCTCTGACCCATCAGCGCACCCAGAAGCTCATCAGTGCAGCATAGAAGCATAGTCGCGCAGCTGCGTTTTGGACGCACCCACACCTGGGTGAGCCAGTTAGGAGAGGGGGTTCCTGCCGGGTCTGCTTGCTGCAACATTGTGCAGGTTTGGGTTCGTGGGGGCAAGTTTCGGGACCGAAATGCTGCAAGCCCGAAACACGACCGGGCCGCAAAAGCACAGGCCAAAAGCCGAAACCTCCTTAGCTTCGTGGCTCGGGCTCACTCATTTCTCCTGGTGCGTCAGGGGGTCCGCTTCAGGGGATCTCGGGAAGGCTGGTGGTCTCTAAAGCATCTGCTGACGAGATCCGGGGCTGCATTTCTGTGAACGAGACCCCGATACGGTCAAAGAAAAGGTGATTGGAGATCCTTCTGTCCGAAGCCCCAGATCCCGAAGCTAGATTCTTCTTCTTACGAGTAGAGAACTTAATCCGCAAAAGTCTTCGGCGGATCGACACCTAAAAGGGCCGGCCAAGGCAGAAAATGACAGATTTGGGTTGGCTTGGAAACCGGCAAGGTACTGTATCTAACAATCTAAACATGATTATTTGAAGTAATATCGCTGCAAGGGTACATTTCAACGGTTTATGTTTAGTTGCGGTCCAGGACCCTCAGAGGACCGGGCGGGCCAGGGCCGCCCACCGAGAGGTGACCGGAGAAGCAGTGGAGGCCTGAAGAGTCCAAGGACTCGCTCCTTTCGAGTTGACCCCTTTATTTCATTCTGAGCTTGAGCGTATGGTGGGGCTTCTTTAAATCCTGGAGCAGGTAGTCATGTCCCCATAGCCGGATTTTACACTGCGTGCCCTCGAGAATGTATTGCCATGTATACATGAAAGGCTTGAACAAGGAGGCAATCAGGCAAATCTTGGAGATCCCATGCCCCCAACTTCCTTTACCTGTCACCCCTGCTTCCCAAGCCGAGAATGAAGAATGTTCGAGCACGATTCGGCTGTCTCAGTTAAACTCCTCAAGCCTGGGTGTGAAAGCGGGTCTTTGCAAGCAGCAATGCAGGACATCAATCGGTCAGCCACAAATCGAAGATGCATTTAACGGCGGCGGTGCTGGAGCAGTTGCAACTACCTATCGAAACACGAGCGCTGGCTGGGTGCTTCTTTGTACCTTCTCATCGCCGAGTACAAGTACCAGGGCCTTGGAGGGCCATCCTACATCGCATGAGGAGTTCTCGAAAATGGTGTCGCAGCAGTGCTGTACGTGGTTCATCAACAATCGATGAAGGAAACTAGAGGGTACAGCCGATCAACGACACAGTGATTTGACTGCCTTCTTGACAGCTTGATCAGACGCGACACGGTCCAGTGGTCTAAGGTGCTGCTCTTCAGTCTGTAACAACAACCTGACTAGCATCGAACCCTTACGAAGGCAACTGCAGAAAGCACAACTGCCGCAAACGAGTCGCAATTGTTAATGGCCTTGAAGAATCTGCACCGGGGAATTCATCGCAATCAAAAAAGGTTTGCTAGCCATAAGGAAGGTTTTGGATCGGGACCATGAACTTGAGGCCACGCTACTGATTGGTCAAGGGCAAGAGTTCGCACATCATTGACATCATCCCTGCAAACATCAAATACAACTTCCTGCACCCGTACTGCACGAAGTACTTGACTTGTGCACCCGTACTGCACGAAGTACTTGACTTGCGAACTGCTGTAGAACCTGATAGACGAACATGATTTGAGAAGAAAGGGTCTAGTAGTCTAGTCTTCCTCAGGACAACTGTAAGGACCTTGGCGTGAACAGTGCTTCAGAAGTCGGAAGTGCGGGCATGTAACATTTCGGATTGAGGCTTAGAGGGAGCCCCTGGATGTGAAAGATTCAAAAGTGAGCCTGACCAACGGTTTTCTACCGTTGCTCCGCGGTGGCCAAACAGATTGCAACTTCATGACTTCACCCCATATCCGCATGCAGCGCTGCTGCACAAAGGAGGGTGGGTGGCGTCATGATACCTCATCGCATAGATACCAGGCCGAAGCCGGCCTCTGCCAGTAAACAAGCAACTGGCAATGGTTCGAGCTGCGTTTGCTTCCACTGATGTCCGCGACACTCAGTGCTCGTCGATTGTGAGACCAAAGTTCTAAGGAACTGAGTAGAAGCAAAGAGAAACCTCTCTCTTGTTGTCAAGGTTTGCAGCCCCCGGGTCTGCCATGTAGGTCTCACGGACTTGCAGCTAAATTGGAGCTGTGGAGCTCACATCTTCGACTTAAGCGATTTCATGCTGACTCCCACATCTTCAAAGTGCAAACTTCCGGAGACCAGTCCTTTGCAAGACCATGAGCTGCTATCCCTTACAGGTAAGACATTCTGATGTTTTCAAGCTACTGGCATGCGGGTCCATGGAAAAGCCGCATACAGCAACTAGTTGAAGATGCGAGCCGGCTTCCCTTCGAAATTCAGCTTCAGCATCACTTCGAACAAGTAGCATCCGTAAACACAGTTATAATGTACATACTGCTGGTGTTCGTTAGAGAGCAGCGGGGGAGAGGTGCGTGCGACAGCGAGCTCCCAAACTCAAGCCAAGCTCCAAGGCCCAAGGCGTCCACCCCTGTCCAGCACCATCGCCGGCGACCCACGACACAAACCACGCGACCGACCGCCACAGCCATGGAAACCGATCTCTGGATGAGGCACGAGCTATTAAACATCTACACAGCGAAACACTTGAGACCCGGAGGGGGGTGACGAAAGCTCTAGCTTCATCAACCGAGACGGCAAACGACCATCGTGAGCATGAGTGAAGACCGTACACAGAAAAGCTAAGCACATCATGAGCATCACTGGGATCCCAATCGGAGCTGGCAGGCGAGCATCATGAGCATCATCGAAGGCTCCGAAGGCTCGTTTTCCATTTGAGGATGGTCTAGAAACACACCCCCAGCCACGAAGAGGCCCCGGTGGACACCGCCCAAAATCCACGCATAGCACGGGGGGACCCAGATTGACCCAGATTTGGGGTTCCCACACCCTTAAGCCTCCTGGCAGAACAAGTTCTGACTATTGAAACGAAAGGCTCCCAGGGGAGAGCTTTCGTGACAAGCATAATGTATAACTTGGCAGCAACACTGCCCACCCGTTCCACCACAACACATACATGGTTGAGCGCCTTCGTCTATAACTCGTTCGTCGATTTTTGATAGGTGTGTGAAGGCACCCTCAAGAGTAGCTGTTGTTGACTTGGTGCTCTGCACGCAACGACGCAGTTGTGTTCCACTTGGTACCTGGCGTGTTTTTCAAACGCCTCCGGCTCGCGTCCTTCAGAACGAATGCACCTTCAACACTCAAACACTGCACCTACATTGCAACCCACACACACACAATAAGGTTGTGCTCACTTCTGCAAAATGAAACTCTGGAACAAACGAAATGCTGCCTATGGTCACCACCACAGCAAGGCTCAGCGATGCTAAGATTCCAAAGCCTGGCACCCATTTTCCCAAACTAGAGTTCGACAGGTGTCTCGAGAACGGTGCTCGGGCACACGCTAGGGTATCGCGTTGGTGACATTCAGGTGTCCAATCCACTGCGGATCTTGGTTCTGACTTGCCTCACAACAGTTCTTCACTTAACGTCACAAGAGCCGAGTGCAAAGGAGTGAAGTTCAGGAAGTGCCCCAAATCACCTAAACGTTCGATTGCAACATGCTGAGGCAAGAAGTTCTGAAGAGGAAGCGAATCGTGGCCTGGCATCAAGCAGCTTTTCCAAGCTTATCGAAGCACGGAGATGCTGATGCTGCATTCTGGCGATATGCTTGAGGGCTGCGGAACAGGCTGACAAAGAACAAAAAACACAACCCCACAATGTTCGGGCTGTTTTGTCTGGTGAAGGGAAAACAAAGTCCACAGCATCAGCGGAGAGCAGAAAATAAGTGAAGAAGCATGGCCCGTAATTCTCGGACCTCGTAAGCCGAAATTCGTCCTGAGGCATAGAGTACTTCAGGCGACACTGCATCCAAGCCAGCTAATGTCAACATCCACTGGCACAGATGCCGTCTTGCCGAAGTGCTTCCTGATGCACATTTTGAAAGGCGGGCGGCATTCGTGGCGCACAGGAGAGGCAGACCTACTCCGGGAGGAAAACTAAGCGACGTCCACCGTCTTTCGGTTCCAGCAGATTGCGGCAAAGTGCCTGGGCATCAGCTCCAAGGTGCTCACCTAGGGTTTCAATCCCTTGAGGTTTCGTGGCATTTCGTGTGGTTCACGGCAGCGAAAGGCCGGGGAGCGAAAACCGTCATCCCCGACACATTCTTCCGCCACATTGTCACATGGGACCTCATGGGACATGAAACTTGGAGGGCCGGCCTTGGCTTAGGCCAGCTTGAGGACTCCACTCTGGAAGCCAAGTGTGCCCGCCATTGCCTCAGGAGGAACAAGCCGCTTCCGGTTTTTCATCCTGACCGCAGCTCGAAGAAAAGCGACGAATTTAAGTTGCCCAGTCGGCGGAATCCAATCCCGCGGTGTAGCCCGAAGGGGGCTCCTGAAAGGACCAAGGAGCCACAGTGAAGTAGATGAACTTTTGCACCTGGCTTTGGGATTTGGGTGACTTCGGATCTTGGGGTGTTACGACGGACAGTGCCATGAATGCCTTAGTCCGTGAAGGAGGAGCAGTCTCCGTTCTTAAGGACAGGAATGCAATCTTGCTGGCCGCACACCAGCGAAGCACCCACACACATCACAGAGAAGCACTGACAGGCAGGCCTCGGACAGAAGACTATGGCAAGCATGATAAGACGGGAGGATATTTCACACCTGCTCCTCGCTGCTTCTTGACCCCCTTAATTCATCGCCTTTGACAGCTCAAGACTCCAAGTTCCTGTTGAGAAGCTAAACTGCACTCAATGCTTCAATCTTACCGACGCTTGCTTATGAAATTCGTGGAGGGATTCCGACTACTTTTTTCCGGATGGCCAGGCCTGGGTTGGCCTCTTTGCAGAGGCTCTGGGGCTTCCATCGCCGTGTTTTCCGGCAAGCTGCTCGTGGCACCAGCTTGAAACCGCAAGTGCTCAAAGGAATTGTCCCGAAGCTCTTGCAGCCGCGGCGCCAGACCCAAGGTCAAGCACGTGTCCCAGATGAAGAAGCCACACTCACTCATGGAAACGAACAAGGCCAGGTCGATGTAGTCTCGTTCCTTTCGACAAATGTCATACGTCTTTGCAACTTCTGGAAGTTTTGTTTCTGACACTGCACTGCAGCACCGTGCGGTTCGAGCCTAGTCAAAACCCGGTCAGACACACTTAGAGTCTTAGCGGTGCGGACCTTTTTGAGGACTTGTTTCTTGAATGGGGCGACACAGCCGATTGTGGCTCTGCTTCAAAGGCTGCCTCGGCACGGCTGCTTCTACTAAGACGTCAGATGGAAAGGAATGCTGAGAATCGAATCGTCGACGCACACAGAACCGAAAGACGACTTCCGAAAAAACTCACTAAACAAGTCCAGGCTTCGTTGCTGTCCTCCGAGGGTTCCCACCTTGCTATGCAACCAACCAACATTCCGAGCACTGAGTGCCGATTCCCAAGGCTTTGGGAAGCTCGGATTTGGTGTAAGGGTGGTTTTACAATGTAGACTTGATAAAAATGTCAAATCACAGACCACCTTTTCAATCGCGCGGTTCTCGCCGCCACGTAACAACTGGCCAGAGGAGGAGATCGGTGGAGTGGAGAAGCGAGGCAGTGTCTGAGGCTTCGCAGGGAGCGCGCAATGTGAACATGGTAATCTGGGTTTCGAGCTGTATTACACTACCATAATTACGTGTATGTGTAAATATGTAACTCTATATATACAACATGTGTGCATTACGAAGCTATGTTTGATTCGCCCTGCGTCTTGGACCAGCATGTCGACAGTTTGGGCCCGCAGAGAAATGCCAGAACCCAATTATTGGAAACTTTCAGACACAGGCTGCCCTCGTTTTAACATGACATGCAAGATATTGCACTTGCATACTATATACAATATGCATATTTTTATATATTAAGCATACATGTATTTATGCATGATTGTGTATCTATATATCCAAGCATCTATGCATCCATGTGGCTATGTATCTATGTATCCATGTATCTAGTTATCGATCTATGTATGCATGTATGTGTATATGTGCGAACTTATGTATCTATGTATCTATGTACTTATGTACCTCTGTACCTGTGCACCTATATGCCTATGTATGTATGTATGTGACTATGTATGTAACATGTAGCTGTGTATGCATATACATTTATATACATATACACTTCTTTCTTTTTAGTCAGCTATTTGGTATCTAATTGTTTATTTGATCTATGGGTAATGTTCAATCCCCCTTCCTGCAATTCCTCGCTATCCTGTCTCCGTTCATGCCACCCATATGGTTAAGCCGTTTCAACACTCACCATTCACCATTCATTTCGCCCCTTGGTTTGTGCCTCCTCACCAACGCACTGTTGATTGCCCCATATGCATAATCTCTGGTGAAATGAAGGGTGGTCTGCGTACCACACCATTCATACAGGATCCCGTGGGCCGATGATTCGTGCGTGCTATGAACTCCTCGTCGAAGACCAATAATTGCAATGATCTATCCCCACAAGGATTTCAGGCAAGATTCCAAACTCGTGGAAAACAGTTTCCAAGCCAGTTCATGGTTCAGGAAAATGACAGCTGTGCAGAAAAACAGGCGAGACACTAAGCAGTCCATACGTGTGTGTGTGTGTGTGTGTGTGAACCTCCCCAGCACATGGGAGCAGAGGGTCACTCCTGTTGGTATTTTGTCACAATACTGTCAACATGTTGATTTCACATTGGCACAGAACCACAAACACATAAGCATGTAGAGAACTTACAGCAGGGGACCACCGAGGCCTCCGGGGAGCGGTGGTCAACGAAGACCTTCCCGGAAAGCCTGTGAAAACGTACCTGTTTTTTCCACTTTCATTGCATCTGGGGCGGCCGTGCCAGCTGGTGGATGAGGAGTGGAAAAGACGACGAGGACGAGGACAACGACGACGAACTTTTCACATGCATACCACAATCACAACATGCCTCTCTTTCTTCCTCCTGCACTCGTACTCTTGGCGCCGAATCAGTCAGTGTGACTATCGTGAGTCCCGAGACTCCAGAACAGCGGCTTTCCGTCAAGGCGCCGTGGTGACCCTTCGTGGGAAACCGGTGATAAACCGGATGTTCAGCCTTTGTTCAGACCGTTCAGATCTCCGGATGCTACTGCTACTTATTCCTCTCTCTCTCTGATGCCTGCATGTGAGCCTGACATGAGTGCAGTCGCAGTAACGGACGGCTAATGCGGTAAAATTGCGTCTAGTGAGCAGGTGCTACCTCGCTAGTCTGTCCTCTATTCGATCGCTTCTTTATTCCTCAGGGAACGCAAGGGCATGTGCAACTGACATGAGTGCAGGCGCAGTAAGTGACGGCTAGTGCAAGGGAATGAGGCTTCCTCCGGGAAGTAATCGGCCTCTCCTCTGCCTCTTCGACTTCTCTCAAGACAACAAGGCACCGACATCAGCAGTTCCTACATGCAACCTTCGTAGAGCGTTGCTTGAATACACACCACAGGCACAACCCCAACACACCAGGCGCCACTCACCTGGCACTGTTGCAGTGGACAACAGGCGTCACAAGCACAATTGCAGTTGTCAGCAGTTCCAGCACGCAGCCTTGGTTGAGCCTTGCTTGAAAACAAACCACAGTCACAACATCAACACACACTTCGTTGGCGGTCCACGCCTTCTGAAGGAATGAAGACAGGAACACCTGTCTGCCAGTGACCACGGCTGGTCACTTGGCACAACTCACTGTGCAAGACACCACCACAATACAACATGCCACAGTGCTTGCCTTTGTCACCCCTGTGTGGGGCTGCGTGTGCGTGAACCTCCCTAGCACATGGGAGCAGAGGGTCACTCCTGTTGGTATTTTGTCACAATACTGTCAACATGTTGATTTCACATTGGCACAGAACCACAAACACATA